AAGGGGACGGTTTAGCGGGTAGGTGTGGGGGGGTTAATATGAAGATTGATGATACGTAGAAATGGATGTTTGAGATTTGTCACCAACTTTGAACAGTGACATTACGTTGACATTAAGAGGAGGGGCTAGACTTTGTAGTGTTGTGTGAAAGGGATTCTTGTTATTTAGGTAGTGTTTTTACTGTGTAAGGTCTGCAAAGTTATTATGTCTGCGCCATACAGGCCACGAGCAGACATTGAGTTTCGCAGACCGTTTGTTTTTTAGAAGACAGAAACTTTTCAAACGTTTGCGCGAGGTATTCTTTGTGCAGACATAATTTTATCTCTTCAAAGTTCTTCAAACCTTTTCAAAGAAATTAAAATTATTTAAATTTATTTTAAAATATGGATTGATTTATTTTAAAATATGAAAAAAATTATTTTAAAATATGGATTGATTTATTTTAAAATATAGATTGATTTATTTTAAAATATGAAAAAAATTATTTTAAAATATAGATTGATTTATTTTAAAATATAGATTGATTTATTTTAAAATATGAAAAAATTTATTTTAAAATATCGATTGATTTATTTTAAAATATGTATTGATTTATTTTAAAATATGGATTGATTTATTATAAAATATAGATTGATTTATTTTAAAATATGAAAAATTTATTTTAAAATATGGATTGATTTATTTTAAAATATAGATTGATTTATTTTAAAAAATTTATTATTGTAGTTGTATGGATTATTTAAATTTCAATATTATAAAACTAAAATTATTTAAATTTCAGTATTGCAAAACTCTTTTAAGTTAAAAAAATCAGTTTATTTATATTTCAATTTATTTTAGCAATCTGCAGACGTTAAAAAACAAAAGTCTTCTTCTTACAGATTGTAGACTTTTGATCTACCTTTTCTACTGCAGATGCCTACAGATATGATCCGCAGACTGCATACCTTTTACCTCTAAAAAAAACACCACCTTAGTCAATTTGGTGGGTTAATTATTGTAGTACAGCTTTTTTTAATTGTTAACGGCTCCCATATGTCTTTGCAGTTTGCTGCTTGCTCTCTCGTAGAGTACTGTTGCCATTTTTTGCTGACATCACACTGCCACTGCTCATGTTTTCTCTGGAAATACGTTCTCTCTGCGTATAAGTTTGATATTTTGAAAAGAGAAACATGTATGACAAATTCGAACAGCAAGTGGATAATTTTGGGGTTTTAAAATCTTAATTTTAATAATATTAAAACCAAGGTATTTTACGCCTCCTTTTCATCCAAGGACGATGATAAGTGGCTTAAATGTCAACATGTTTTTTTTCTTAACAGAAGTAGTCATTGATAATCATGGAAGTTGACATATCCTACAACTGCTCTGCTGAAGCAGAGCAGGAGAATATGACATTACTTGTATAATACTCTCTGAATGCAGCTCTTGCTTTGTCTAAAATGTTGCAGATCTCATTTACTCCACCAATGTAAATAAATGGTGCCCAGTTCAATCAATTAATTAGAGAAAGGAAAAAAGAAGGCAAAAATCAGCAATCTATCTGTTCCTTTGCAGAGTTTAATTTTAGCATACATAAAGATGTTGTTGCCACTCAGGACTTGAATCGATATTTATAGCATGTGAAGGTATACTTCGTTGATTCAGAACTTAAAAGCCCAATATGGTAGTCTAACTCACAAGAAAACGGAATAATTGATGGATTTGGGCTTCAATGATCTCTTCTAAATGATAGGATGAGAAGTTGGGAAAACTAATAAGAAAAATAGGAGGGAAAGTAAACAATATATAAAGCGTAAAGATGGAGAAAGTCATGGAGATTGGTGTCAGAGATGTTACGTGCATTTCACCTTGCATAAGCGACAATGGGATATTTAGGTCCAAAAACATTAGATTTAAATCCTCTTTTAAAGCATCCATTTCCAACCAAAACCAACCAACCGTTTTGTTGTCTTCTCTTCATCTATTATGTTCACATTTGGAGTTCTCCGACACCATTTTCTTCATTTATACCCTCAACTCCCCTAATTTCATTGCTTCCTCTCTATCCACATTACTTATCAATCCCATGAAAATGTCACAAGTTCAAACAAAAATATTATGATTATCTCTAGTTTAAGAATTTAGAAGAATTATAAATAACTTAAGTATTACATATGTATATATACAAAGTTAATCCAAACGAATTCCCCAATCATATTGAAATGAAGCTAATAATAAATCCCATTAATATTTTGAGAAATAAAATATGATTAGAGTTGCTCCTTTTTGTCCAAATGAAAATACCAAAGCCTCAAATTAGAGTCCCTAATACATATTTAGAGAACAACGTTGAATTTTATTGCATGACCAAAAGACTCGATATAGAAGATGAGTCGATTCTACAACTGATATTGAAAATAATCTCATTAGTAAAATGTAGATAGGAAAATAGAACAATACATAGTACAAGAAATGAATACACTTCTGAAATATCAAACTCACGAAGGGTTAGTTCTCACTTCCAAGCACCCACATGGAAATGTTTTGTGAGCTTTTATAACATTCACAAATTTTTAAATTGGAGTTTTCTTTTTAAATTATTTTTAAGAATTATATTAATTAATTTCAGCATTGATAAGCACATATTTTAAATTTAGTTCGATTGGTTAAAAGATAGTTCAAATTGAATTATTGTGATGTATTTTCTTTCTAACAATTTAAACTTAAAATATTAAATTGAATTATTTATATAAAAATTTATAAAAATATTTTTGTTTCACTATCTAAATCTTTTAAATATAATAAATATATTAAAAATTATTTAAAAATTACATAAGTAAATATCTTGTATAAAAAATAAAACTCAAACTCCAATAAAATTTACATTATCTCAATTAAATTTACGTTATGAACTAAATATTTAAAAAAATATTTAATAAATAAATTAGATATATCTTAAATAATATTAATAAAACATATTAAATATTAAAGAACAATTTAAATATAAAATAAATATAATAAATATACACCCAAAATATTTAATTAACTAATTAAAAATATGTAATAAATAGATCAATATTAAGACGATCCATTATTTTAAAAATAATTTTATCCAAAATAATAATAATTGTTAAATAAATAAGGAACGATGAAAATAAAAAACTTGAAATATTGACAAAAGGATTGTTCTTGATAATATTATTTTCTTCTTGGTGACAATATTTGTTTAAAGATTCTCAACTAATTGATAATGAACATTTAAATCATTGTCAAATTAGAACTTGTAATCTTTGAAAATAATAAATCTATTAATCACTAAAATTAATTAGTTTGTACAAAGACTAACAAAAAAAATGAATATATAATTTGAAAAGTAAATATCTCCAATAATAACCTTTCAACAAACTCAACATACCTTTATAGTCAAAACTGAGAATACAGCTATGAAGCATAGAGCAAACGATTATTCATTTACAAATAGACTAAAAAAGAAATAATTAAAAGAAGGAAGCAAGCGCTAGTTAAAAACCAAAACGGCTATCCGACATCAGCACGCAAAGTAAAGAGATTTGAACTCCATTGTATCTTATAGGTTTCATCTAGAAGTTCACTTAGAGGTATCGAGACGTATTGAGATATCATTTTTTTTATTGAACTTTTACATAGCTAATTGTCTCGTCATAAATACGCATCCAATAAAATATCTTTAATGACTTAAATTTCCAAAAAAAAAAATAAGAATTTAACGTCCTAGTCGACCAATATTTATAAATTAAATATTAAAACCTAGCAGGTAAGACCAAATCTAGAAAATGAAATTTCGATGAATATATACCCATTTATCCTGTCACAAAGAACATGAGAACTTATCTTATATTGAAAAAGAAAAAGAAAAAGAAAGTAGATGGATAAAATGGATTTTTGTATTAAAAAGATAAAGCAAAACAAAAGATAGAATGTGTCAGAGGGAGGGGTGCAATGAACATTGCCGTTTAGGGAAAATACCCCAAATACTTACCTTCTCCAATAATCAAAGCCCTCTGTGTGGGTATGTTGGGACCTTAGTGGGATATATCACATGGGTCTACTTCATGAGATTAGGTTTGACCATTTCCATTTTCCATTTCTTTAATTTTAATAATTTTCTTTTATTTTATGAGATTTGATTAAGTGAGGCATGACTCTTGAGACATGAACACTAACACTAGTCGACCCTGCCTTGGGAGGCAACCTACCTCCCACGTTCACTTCATTTAATAATACACATAGCAAACAGAACTAGAAAAATATTTAATAAGTCCTTAATATTAAAAATTAATTGCAAAAGATGTTGATTTACGAAGGATAATATTATTTTAAAACTTTATAAAATGATCTAAGTGATAAAAGAGAATTATATTCTCTTTAAATGATATGGATTTGATTAATTACGTCTACAAATTATATGATGTTAATAAATTAAAGTTTTTTTAGTAGATACTAAAAATTAACTGTTATTTCTTCCAAAGGAAAACCTAGCATTAGTTGGCTGCAAATTTTGATTTTAAGAGAGACCCGTGGTTTGCATTTTATTGGAGAGAATTCAAGCAACTTTAGAGAGAGCAGATAAGGTAAATATTTTGTAAGAAAGTTGAAAACTTTTGACGGTGAAAAGGAACTGCTAACTGAAAAAAACCAGATGTTGCTATCCGTCAATATTCTTATGGTGAAAACAAATTTAACTTATGGACCATGCCGACCATTCAGAATAGGATGATATTAAACAAGCAGTGAGATATGTACGGTAACCCTCAAAATGAAAAGGAATTTTCATGCATGGTAGAGGGAAATATTTCGAATTAATTATTCTCCCTAATAACCAACATTAGTTCATATGCATGATCAGTTAACTGGAATGCATGGGGAAATTCTTGAAGTTTATTGGCCTGTTCTGCTGATAAAAGCTTTAATCGTTGTGTGACGAATATAGATATATGTGGAGAATATTAAGAAGTTTAATTCTAGATAATGAAAGCATACAATCAAATTCTTTGTGGCACTAAGAACAAGTGAAATCCAAACTTTACAAGTAATCCAAAACATTACGATGATATTGCCCGTTACACAAATCAACTAGTTAAATTCTAAAATCCACCCCCTATCTAAGCATCTGCATGTTGCTCACAACTTGATGATGATGAGATGGCTGACAAGCTTTCACCAAAGGGGAGTAACCCACGTTAGCCAGTGCTGCACTCGGAAACCCTACGCTCATTGGCCTATTCACGGCAGCTTGTTCCAGAGATTGCACCTGTTTCTTCAGAAACTTAACATAATGAATAGCTTCGTCCAACATCGAAGCAGTGTCCATCTTAGTGCCTCCCGGAACGAGTCTTTGCAGAATCCTTATCCGCTCACTTATCCGTTCCCTTCTATGCCTGGCGGCCACACTCTGTGGATCCTTAGAGATCTTTACGTTCCTTCTCTTCGGAGGTTTAATGGATTCCGGGTCTATATGAATAGGCTGCATTGCCGCTATACGAAAGATCATCTCCCTCATTGCTGCCATGGAGTTCTTATCAACAGAAGGAGGGAATGAGTTTGAGTTGTTGAAAAGAGATGGATACTTAAACTTGGTGTTGGCCATATTGTTGGGTTGAAAAGGTGGAGCCATGGAATCTTGAACTGGGATATTGCCAATGAATGATAAAGTGGAAGGTGGCAAGGCCATGAATGTGTTGAGTGAAGAAGGGTCATTAATGGGGTTAGGGTAAATGGGTTGTGTAGGTAAGAATGTAGAACTTGAAGTCCCATTGGGGAAGTCTATTTCAGAGGTCTTGAAAGGAGGCGACTCACAGAATTCAGGAAGCTTTTCCATTTGCATCATCATTGTCATCATATCCATGTGATCTTCTGTTGAGGATTTGATCATGTCAACATCCATTGAACCTTCACTCAAACTAGCTATCAGCTACTCTTCGCCCCTTGAAAAAAGTTCTGTTTGAGGGCGTGAGTTGAGAGAAAAAAGAGATGGGAAAGTTGGTATATGATAGAATTCTGAGAAACTGAAATGACGGAGGGATGGGTGAGGAGCTGAGCTGACAGAAGAAGCTGGAGATATGTAGCTTTGATAGAATTAAGGGTTTTCTTTTATATATGTAATCAAAGATGTGCAGAGCTAAAGATAAAGGAGAGAGATGATAAAAGTGTATTTAAAAAGTACCACCAATATCTAGCAGAGAAGTGGAGAGGGCTTTATATAGCAACTTGTGACCAGATATGTATTTTTAAATACATGCAAAGCTTATAGGAAAGTTCTCTCTCCCAAAAACTCATTTATGATTGAATGTGTTATATCTGATAGTGACCGCCCATCATGTGGGGTTAACTCTATATTCATTCATCCTATCAACCCTCCGATCTAATGAATTGATCCTACGTTTAGGTCCACAAATTAGATGGCTTGGATTCAAGGATAATTGCTCAAAGAAGGTGCATGAACCACTTAGTTTTTTATGGACTGTGCCATTGAGTACTCTCAAGTGCCTGCTTTCCCTTAAAAAAGTTATTCTTCCTTTTACCATGAAACCCCACACACTCCATAGTCACATGACATTTGTCAGGACAATCAACCCTTGAGCTGTCTCCGGTGCTTGATAAAGATTCCAGTAACTTTGGGATGATAGGATCACAGTTTCAGGATTTTAACTTTTAAAGGGTGGTGGTAGTATACGGCAGTGGACACGGTTTTGGTCACTCTCATCATTGCCTTTGGCACGCATTTCAAGGTGGATAGAAGGGTGACGGTGGTGATGCAGAGAGCCAGAGACTACTTTCTACTGCAACTATGGAAATGGTGGCTTCGGGTACTGAATTTTTTTTCCTTTTCTTTTTCTTTTTCCTTTTGTTGCTTTACTGACACCTTCAGTTCGTGAGGCTGCCTTTTTTGTTGCAGTTCTTACCAATTTGAGTATACAAGAAGACAATATCATTGAATTGAGAAGTATCTAATCTGTGTGAGAAACTAATGACATGAAAATTAACTAAAGATTCCTGTCATTAATCTGTTTAGTTTCTTGTAAGTTTAGAACAGGAACTGAAACTCACTGAAATAAATATACTAATATGGTACATACCATATCTACATTTATCGAAATTTGACAACAAAGACCATGACTAGTACATTTGAAGTGCACATGGGGGTTTGAGATTCAAGATATTTCCAATAACTCGAAAACAATATTAAAATACTCTGCATCCAGATTAGAGTGGTAAAACAAATTAAAAAATATAAACAGTAGTTTGATTATATCTTCCTATTCAAGAAAACTTTTTACAGTGCAGATAATTACAAAGCTCAGGAAGTGGTCCCATGCTCGAGAATCATGCCTGGGTTTTTTGTTTCACTGATATTCTTCTATCATCAGCAAAGATGGAGGAGCTCTGTTATCTTATATAGGTTCCCGAAATGAAACAAACAAAAGCCGCCAATGGAAGTTCAACTTTTTCAGATTGACAAACTTTGATCATTCAATTTATCATTAAAACTGGAGATAACTCAGAACCCTTTTTCTTCTTTCATAGAAACAGAGGCGACAAAAGGTGAAGTTTGAGAAATGATAGAGAAAATAAGGCAGCCTACTTTTATGATAGAACTGCACTTCGTTGATGGAGAAGGCCAGAAGGGTCACTGTACATTCATAAATCGGGGTCCCTTCATCAACACTCTGCCAAAGTGCCAATTCCGTCAATTCCTCCAATTGGTATTAGATGTCAAGAGTAAAATTCGAAGTTGTGAAATTCGATGGTCAGGTTAACTTCGGATTATGGAAAACAAGAGTGAAAGATATGTTGGCACAGCAATGGATCCTGAAGGCTTTGTGACCTATAAAACCGGCGTCGATGGAGGAGGAAGATTGGGAAGAATTGCAACAGCGAGCGGCAGGAACCATACGATTATGCTTGGCGGACGAGGTCATATATCACGTCATGCATCTGTCGTCTCCAGACGAAATTTGGAGGAAGTTGAAAAGTTAGTTTATGTCCAAATCCTTAATGACAAAACTGTATCTAAAGCAGCGGCTGTATGGGTTGAATATGCAGGACGATCATGATTTGGCGCAACACGTGAATGTATTCAATCAAATCGTTTCTGATTTGGCTCGGCTTGATGTGAAAATTGAGGATGAAGACAGAGCGATGATTATGTTGTGTTCGTTACCTCCCTCTTACGAACACTTGGTGACTACTCTTATATATGGGAAAGAGACTATCAACGTTGAGGAGATTACTGCAGACTTGTTGGCTCACAACCAGCGGAAACATAATGCAGGGGAAAGCTCTCATGCCGATAGCTTATATGTTAAGGGTAATCGAGACCGTGGACGGAAGCCAGAGATGGCAGAGTCTGACAAGAGGAATTCCAGATCCAAATCTAGGGATAAGAAGACAATTCACTGTTACAAGTGCAAGGAGGCGGGACATATGAAGCGAGACTGTTCGAAGTTGAAAAAGAAGACTGATGAGAAGCGTGATGATTCATCCAAGTCTGTGAATGTTTATTTGGGTGATGATCGATGTTGCAATATTGTTGGTATTGGTGATGTCAGAATTAAGATGTATGATGGCTCTGTTCGGACGTTGAGTGGTGTTCGACATATCCCAGATTTGAAGAAGAATTTGATTTCTTTGGGCACTTTGCACAAGAATGGTTTTATCCTTAAGGCTGATGAGGATAGGGAAACCATTCAGATTGTTAAAGGAGCTTTGACTATGATGAAAGGAAAGATGACTGCAGGGAATATTTATAGATTGTTAGGGAGTACCGTTGTAGGTGGAGTTCATTCTGTTGAGTCATGTGATGATACTACAAAACTGTGACATATGCGTCTTGCTCATCTTAGTGAACGTGGTATGGCATAATTACACAAAAGAAATTTGTTGCATGGTGTCAAAAGCTATAAGCTCGATTTTTGCAAGTATTGTGTTCTTGGTAAACATACTAAAATCCGTTTCAAGACTGTGAAGCACACAACTCAAGGGATTCTTGATTATGTGCATTCTGATGTATGGGGGCCTTCCACGACATCGTCTTTGGGTGGATCTAGGTATTATGTTACTTTTATTGACGATTTTCACGGAAAGTTTGAGTGTATTTTTTGAAACAGAAGTCTGACATTTTTTAGAAGTTCAAGCTGTGGAAAGCTGAGGTAAAAAACCAAACTGGACGAAAAATCAAGTGTTTACGGTCTGACAATAGTACAGAGTACACAGATTCACAGTTTCTACACTTCTGTAAGGAGCATGGGATTAGGAGACATTTTACAGTGCGTAAGACACCACAACAAAATGGTGTTGCGGAACAGATGAACATGTCATTGAATGAAAGAGCCAAATGTTTGCGGTTGAATGCGGGGCTTCCCAAACACTTATAGGCTGAGACTGTTAACATGGCGTGTTATCTTATCAACAGATCGCGAAGGGCATCATTAGCTTAGAAAGTTACAGAAGAGGTATGGACTGGTCATGATGTTAGTTTTGATAAATTACGAATTTTTGGTTGTCCTGCTTATGTGCATGTACCTGCTGATGAGAGATCCAAACTTGATGCAAAATCGAAGAAGTATATTTTTCTGGGTTACAAGAAAGGTGCCAAAGGATTCAAGTTCTGTGATCCAATTGCGAAGAAAATTGTGATCAATAGAGATGTTGTTTTTGATGAACAGTCCATGTTGCAGCAGAAAAAAGACACGACAATGGTGGATTTTGAGCAGTTTCCAGTTGAGAATCCAGAAACTTCTCAACCGACTTCTGGTGGTTCCGCTACGGATGATTTGCAGGATTATAGTCTTGCCAGAGACTGGTGAGACGGACGAATATAAAGCCCCCGAACAGATTGGGTTTTGAAGACTTGGTCTCTTTTGCACTTACTGTTAGCAATGATGATCCGGTTACTTTTCATGATGTCGTTACTAGTCAGGAAAACGACAAGTGGATGACTGCCATGGTTGAGGAGATGGAGTCTTTGAATCACAATCGTACATGAGAGTTGGTTCGCCTTCCTGAGGGTAAGAAGCCGATTGGTTGCAAATGGGTGTATAAGAAGAAACCAACGGTAACAAAAAAAGAGAGGGAGAAGTTCAAGGCTCGTTTGGTAGCAAAGGGTTTTTCACAGCAGAAAGGAGTTGATTATGATGAAATTTTTTCTCCTGTGGTCAGACTTACTTCAATCCGAGCAGTACTTGCATTGGTGGCTAGTTGGGATTTGCATTTAGAGCAGATGGATGTTAAAACTGCTTTTTTGCATGGTGATTTAGAGGAACAGATCTACATGCGGTAGTATGAAGGTTTCACTCAACCTGGAAACGAATATTTAGTTTGCAGATTGAAGAAATCTTTATACGGGTTGAAATAGTCTCCGAGATAGTGGTATAAACGATTTGACTCCTATATGATCAAGATTGGCTACAACCGATGTGAGTATGATTGTTGTGTCTATGTTAAGAGCCTTGATGATGGTTCTTTTATTTTTCTGTTACTGTATGTTGATGATATGTTAATTGTTACGAAGAACATGGATGATGTTATCGGTTTGAAAACTTTATTGAGTTAGGAATTTGATATGAAAGATTTAGGTCTTGCAAAGAAAATTCTTGGAATGGAAATTTGCAGGGACAGAGACTCAAGGAAACTGTGGCTATCTCAACGGGGTTATGTTGAGAAAATGCTAGAAAGGTTTGCGATGAGCAGCGCAAAACTAGTGAGCACTCCATTGGTGAATCACTTTAAACTCTCATCAGAACAATGCCCTAAGACAGATAAGGAAGCTGAATATATGGAAAAGGTTCCATATTCTCATGTTGTTGGCTGCTTGATGTATGCAATGGTATGTACTCGTCCTGATTTAGCTCATGTTGTTAGTCAAGTTTGTAAGTACATGTCTAAACCTGGTAAGCAACATTGGGAAGCAATCAAGTGGATCTTTCGGTACTTAAAGGGTACTGTGGGACATGGAATTGTTTTTAGTAGTCAGTGGGACAATCATTTTGTTGTAGGATATGTGGATTCAGACTATGCAGGTGACTTGGATAATAGAAGATCTACGACAGGGTATGTGTTTACTCTTGGTGGAGGGCCTATTTGTTGGAAGTCTACTGTTCAATATGTTGTGGCACTATCTACAACTGAAGCTGAATACATAACAGCGGCTGAAGT